CATCCCTGGGGGGCTGCGATCTGTGAAACTGTCGCCACTTTCGAGGCCTGCTGGGGGGCCCAGCACAGTGACGCCACGGGCGGATTCAAATTAGACCTCGCCATCCCTGGGGGGCTGCGATCTGTGAAACTGTCGCCACTTTCGAGGCCTGCTGGGGGGCCCAGCACAGTGACGCCACGGGCGGACCCAAATTAGACCTCGCCATCCCTGGGGGGCTGCGATCTGTGAAACTGTCGCCACTTTCGAGGCCTGCTGGGGGGGCCCAGCACAGTGACAGCTCGCCATCCCTGGGGGGCTGCGATCTGTGAAACTGTCGCCACTTTCGAGGCCTGCTGAGGGGCCCAGCACAGTGACGCCACGCGCGGACCCAAATTAGACCTCGCCATCCCTGGGGGGCTGCGATATGTGAAACTGTAGCCACTTTCGAGGTCTGCTGGGGGGCCCAGCACAGTGACGCCACACGCAAATTCAAATTAGACCTCGTAAAAGATGCAAGCGCTGAGCACATCATTTGCAGGGGGCGAAGCGGAAAGAAACAGCTTGCTCTCCACGGGACGCCCCTCATGCCTCGTGAGTTGCTGTCAGGCCCTGGATCACATCATCCTCGAACCGTTATTGTTTCTGGGACCTCGCCGCAGACTCAAGCTAGACCTCGCCATCTCTAGCGGGCTGCGATATGAGATCCCCGCTTTCGAAGCGGCTAGGGGTGCTCAGGGGTTGTAACTAATCAGCTTTATCTAGTCCTTGTCCTGTAGCCAGTGTCCTGCGAGTCTCCCGAATCCCGTCTGCAGACATATGTAACCCTCGCTCCGTCATCGCCCCCTTTATAAAGGGCCCTCAACTATTTGCGCCCCGCGTTTGCGCAGGGGTTGGGTACGTCGCCAGGGTAATGTTTTGAAAACTTTTGGCTGTGTGTTCACATTTTTTCTTGTTCTCTTTATGTCTGGCTGTGTTTTCATTGGTTTTCTCTTGCTTTCATGGCTTTTTGCTGTGCTTCAGAAGTTTTCATGTGCTTTCATTGTTTTTGGGTTTGTTTTTATAGTCTGTTTATGTTTTTCATTGTTTTTCGATGTGTTTTCCTTGTTTTCCTTGTTTCTCTTTGTTTTCCTGGTTTTCCGCTGCGGCTCCCTACAAAAGATTAGCGCTCTTACAAAGGGATTCCTTTGTGGCGGCCTTGCAAGGGGATCCCTTCTGTGGCAGCCTTACAAAAAGGATTGCTTCTGTAGCGGCCTCATACATCGATTCGTTTTGTGGCGGCCTTGCAAAAAGATTCCTTTCGTGGCGGCCTTACAAAGGGATTCCTTTTGTGGCGGCCCTACAATGGGATTTCTTTTGTGGCGGCCTCACAATAGGATGCCTTTTGCGGAGGCCATGCAAAGGATTGCTGCTGTGGCGGCTTGACAAAAGGTTTTCTTCTGTCGCGGCATTACAAAAGAATCCCTTTTTTCCGGCGGCCCGGACGCACCCCTGGAGGGATTTCTTTTGTTGTACCGTCGTCACAAGCGGGGAATTCGTCCAAGATGTTGTTGCCTTGGCGCGGGATGCGTGCCTTAAGAGACGTATCGGAAGATGAACGTTGCTTTCGAATTCATTCTCTCAGAGAGCATGAGCCGCAGCGGACGCACCCCTGGAGGGTTTCTTCCTTGCTTCGTGTTTCAACAGGGGATTTTTTTAATGTAAAAAACAGGGGGGGGGGGGGGCATGCCTATTGTGAGAAGCGCATCGAATGAAGCAGATCGCCATCAATGTCGTTTTCTTCAGGAGTTTGATTCACGGCGAACGTACCCCTTGAGGGTTTTTCTTTTGTATTGTCGCTCAAACGGTGAATTCTGTGTTTTTTGTACATTCTGGGCGCGGGGGGTTACTGCAGTTAGAAACACAGAGGATGACAGCTATCAGCCCCTGCTTTATTTGCGTAAGAAATTTCGCCCATGGCGTGCGCACGCCCTGAATTGGCCAGCGCATTCTGTATTTGTTTTGGCGCTGTCTGTCTGTTAGCCAGGTCGCTAGAGTATAATTGTTTACAAATGGTATTATTGCAAACATTTAGCAACGCAGAACGAGTTTGCCACCTCCTTCCATGCAGGATGGTGCGCACATGAACATGGGGCGACGGTCTCAAGACTCATGGGCACCTACCTCATGCGGATCCCTGACATTTTCCGGGGCATCATTTATTTGATGCTTCCCTCACACGCTATTCGCGTAACCCGCGCGTTCGCTAAACGCGTGGTGTTGGTTGTGGGTTTGAGTGTGAGTTTCGACGGGGCAGCAGAGGCATCCAATTTTGGAGGCTGGCCATCACCCGGTCTTCGCCTTATTCGCGTTCTTGCTTAACGCGCTTGTTGGTTGTCGGTTTGATGGGCGAGCCTGGGCGAGCTAGCAGGGGCATCCATTTTTTGGATGCCCCCGTGATCGTCTTCGTCGCTTTCTGCTTGCTCTTGCAATGCTAGCCGCGACGCGCGTGTGCAACGTATGCATCTGCATTTTCGCTTCTCGGCTACGCCCATTGAAAGTGATTACAGTTTGCGAACAGATTCCTGTTATTCCCGAGGGTCTCACGCCTTTCGCGCGATTTGCTTGCGCTCTCAGCTTATAACGCATACTGAGAGAAAGCCTTGCCCACCACGCATTTTTCAGTTTAAGTTGCGTTAGCACTTGCGCAGGTCGAAGAATTCATGTGCTTTCATGTCTTTCTGCCTTGGTCATCAGGTTCTGATATGTGCGACTCCCCAGCGCATGGAAACAAAAAACTCGCATCCATTTTTCGATGCCCCGAGTCGCGGCTTTCGCTTCTGGATTTTTTTTTTTTTTTTTTTTTTTTTTTTTTTTTTGTACCGCGTGCTGCATGTGGTTTCATTTGCCTTCACGTGACGATAAAAACCACACACACACACACGGCCACCGTTGTTAGCATCCGTCGTGCTCGTTCCCTCCTGCCTCTCTCTCTCTCTATCCCTCCCTCCCTCCCTCCCTCCTCCCTCCCCTCCTCCCTCCCCCTCCCTCCCTCCCTCCCTTCCTCCTTCCGCTCGTGTTATCCAGGAGCGGGCGGGAGAGAGGAAGAAGTCTGAAGGAAGGGGCGAGCGAACGAGAAATCTAACTGGAGAAGGAAACAGGAGGGGGGGAGAGAGTGGGAGGAGGAGGGATGCGGGGGTGAGAGGAACATTTTTTGAAGCCCTAGGAGCCTTTCGTCGTCGTTGTCTTTGTCGTTATCCAGCTGCCTGCGGCAAGTCTCGCCGCCGTGCCAGTCCATCATGTTCGGTGGCGACTGTTCGAGAGGGCATCGGAGGCATCTTGGATGTTCGTTGGGATATTCTAGACGTTTCGCGTATCCCCACCAGCCCGTCCAGAAACGACGCCCAGGCGAGTAGAGGGTCGTCCTGAGGGGCTTTTCGGCGTCTTGGGTGCCTCGGGGGGGCCTCTTTGGGCCGTTTGGGATCCTCTTGGGGGCCTCTTGGGGGCCTCTTGGGGCCATATTGGGGCCATCTTGGGGCCTCTTGGTGCCTCCTGGGCGCCTCTTGGGGCCATCTTGGAGGACATCGACCAAAGAAGAGGGGGGCTTCAATTAGTGCTGCCCCCTCTGGGGGCCAAAATGGGGCCAACACCTTAATAAAATCAGTGATTTTGGCTTCCTCGGCGAGGCCGTTTTGGACGCTCTGACCGCTCCCCGCCCCCCCTGTCCAGGTCAGTGGGGAGGGGGTAGGGGGAGGGGTAAACCCCTCCCCGAAGGGGAAAAAGGAGGGGTGGAAGAGGAAACGCTCTAAACCACCGACGCCCAGAGGGCTGGTGGGATTTATCGTGAGAGTTCTCTTGGAGCGCTTTTGGGGCTACTTTGGGGCCTCGTGAGCCGTCTTGGAGGCGTATTGGGCCGTCTTGACGGTTTTGGTGGCCTCCCAGGTTCGTCTTCGAAACGATATTGAGCTTTTTGGAAGCATTGAAGAGCGCCAGGGATGTGTCTGGGCGCCGACAGAAGCCCCGGAAGAGGGGCAGATTCATACACCTGGGCGCGAACCGGGAGGAGGGGGGCCCTTAGAAAAATTGCAGAAACCCTACCAGACAGCACTTAGCATTCTACCGCGCGGGAATTAACGTTCGAAGAATTCAAATAATGTTTGCGTCGTGTAATGGTTTGACGGGGCCCATGTAGGATTTGCGTCGTAACGGCAACAACTGTGTCATTTTAGTCTTTTTACTCAGGCGCCCGACGAGAGCGTCGAGAGCGATGCGTCCGTCGACTTGGTGAACGGCGACATCGACATTGGCGGCGAACGCCCCGGCCTCGACGACATTGACGTGAGCGATGTGTCGTCGGAGACTCTCCTCCACGCCGTCGAATTCATGGACGACGCGTTCGACGAGGGCGAGGACTCGGAGGAGGAGGAGGACGAGTTGCCAGAGCAGGAGTCTGAGGATGAGCTCGTGGACAGACGTTCCTCCTTCTGGAGACCTTCTGTGCGACGATGACGACGACGCTGCAGACCACTTCGAGGAACTGCCGCCGCCCCTGCCCTCGCCATCAGATGCTCTTGGCGGCGCGGCAGGGGCGGCCGAAAGGCGACCCGCCGCGGCAATGTCAAACGCGGGAGGGAAGTGCGCCCCAAAGAGGGGGAAAGCCAGGGTGCATGCTCGGCCGAAGAAGCTGTTCAAGAAGAAGTGGGCCAGTGCATGGAAAAAGACCCCATATGTCCGCAACGGCATAACTTCGCGATCTCGCAAAGACCGCGCCACCTGGGCTTGGAATATGAAGGATATCGCGGCGGCTAGCGAGAAGGCTCTGATTACGCGCCTCACCAGGGGTGGTTTTCTAAAGAAGTGGATTGGGTGCCATTGCCCCCAGCGGTGCCTGGGCATATAGGTGCAAGAAAGACGGGTGCCAACGATTCATCCTTCCTCATGCCGGGCACCCCGTTTTCTCGGCGGGCTCGGGGCACGCTGCAAAATCGCCCCGAAGCCAAGTGCGGATCCTTTTCGGGCTCATCCTGGGCTTGACTCATTCGCAGATTCACTTGCTGCGGGGGGGCAGCGCCAAGTTCATCAGCGAGATGTCGAAGCGACTCGACGCGTGCCTGGCGAAGGACGTCGTCGCCCGAGAGAGAGGTATCAAATTTGGGGACGGTCCCAAACAAAAGTGGCGCGACGTCGAGGCGGACGAGGTCGACTTGGGCAAGGAGTTCGTCACCGATAACGCCAAGGACAAACTCATGTGGCTCCAGTCGGCTGGCATAGTCGAGCGGGGCAGACCAAGCAGCTGAATACTTTTCCGCACGAAGCCCAAACTTACAAGAAGGAGGGCTCCTGGCCCTGGGCCGATCAAGAAATCAGATTGGTACCCAATTGCGAAAAAGTGGTTGAAGGGGCGCAATATTCTCTTGCACACTGACGGCGCCCGCTCATACAAGCTAGGGCTGAACCGCAAGAACGCGTTGGATGGCGTCATCCACGATTACGTCACCCACAAGCCAAAGAAAGACGGGAACTTCCTGCGCCCCAAATACGTGCAGCTCTTCGCTCACAACATTGATGGGGTCACCATGTACACGAAAGGTGGGACCCAGATAATTTATCGGCGTTGGCAGCATATTCGTAAGCTTGTAGGCAGGCGGTCGGCCGCTGGCTCATCCCAGAAGAGGATGGATGCGCGCGTGCGCGCTGCGCAGTGGGCCTACTGGCACCAAGGCGATGATTTGTTTTTGAGAGCAGGAGAAGTTTTTAGGCGTCGCTGCTGAACTGGCGTTGTATTTCTGTGTTCGTACTCGACTTCTTTGAACAAAAAACATGTATGTCCAGATCTTGGTGGTAGGCGTGATCATTTCTATATGTATATGTATATATGTATGTGTGTCGAATTACACATATATCATACATAGTTGCAGATTTGATACATGTATGTGCGTGTGCATCAGTATACACGTGCACACATATACAATGATACGTATCCTTGCATACGTACGCATAACGTCCACGCACGTGCGCGTGCACACCAGGGCGCATCAAGGGCGAAGGTGCGCGCCGCTTGCGGCCGAAGCTCAAAGGACCAAGGTGCACGGCGCGCGGCGCCGCCGCAGTCTTGTGTGTATATATGTATGTGTGTATATGTATGCACGTACACATCTGAGCTTCCCGCGGCGGATCGAGACTATTTGCGAATAGTTGCGTTGCGAGTAATGAGCGCGCTTGCCTATCATCTCCTTCTTCCTCCTTGACTCCAGTTCCTCCCGCCTCTACCCCTCCTCGAGCTTGCTGTTGCGCACCGCTGCGCCGCAGAGAGATCCTGCCGCGTCGACGCGCTCCCGCGTCCGCCAGACGGCGGGCAGCCGGCCCAACGCGAGTGCGGCCACCCGTGCGCCGACCCAGGGGGGCTTCCAGGGGAGGGGGGAGGAGGGAACCAGATCTCTCGACCCATCTGAGGCGTTCCGAAAAGAACTTTCCATTCGAGGATCGAGGGAGTTGTCACCTCTTCCTCGGCGGGGGCTTTCCAAGGGAGGTGGGAGGAGGAGACTAGTCCACTCGACTTATCTGAGGCGTTCTAAAAAGAGCCTTCCTTTCGAGGGTCGAGGGGGTTGTCATCTCTTCTTCGGCGGGGGGGTCCAGGGGAGGGAAGAGGAGGAAACCAGACCACTCGACGCATCTGAGCCGTTCCAGAAAGGGTCTGGCCTTCGAGGGTCGGGGGAGTTGTCATCTCGTCCTCGGCGGAAGGCGGCTGAAGGGCGGCGGACTTTCGGCGGAGGTAGAACGAGGCCGCCTCCGCCAGCGGAAGCATGCGGAAGGCTGGCGGAAGGCGGCGGAAGTGAAAGGTGCGCCAGACGTTTTGGGGTTTAGGGTTTGCGCAACCCGCAATTTGTACAGGAGGAAAGAAGCGGAAGTGGGTAAGAAAAACGCGCTGACAGTAGGCGTGCCGGCAGCTGCCTCAGGTCTGGTCACGGGGCCCAGCTGCGCAGCACCCCAGGGGGGGGGGAAGTCTGAAGGGCCCAGGACCTTTAAAGGCACGCGTGTAGGTTGTGCTTGCGCTGGAGGCGGAGGTCAGCCTGTTTGGGGTCCAGCTGCGGCCCCGAGGGTGGGGAACGTTGGCTGGCCACTCGCCGTTCAGTACCTGTGGCCGGCGTTCGAATCGGTCCTGTCCGGCCTCGCCTTGACCAGTTCGGCGCCCAAGGTGGTCGGTGATAATTGTTTTCCTCGTCTCGCGGTATCTCCAGGAGGAGCTGCGATCTGCGGCTTAAGGTTTGCCGGCCCGTCTCACATTGCTGGTGCGTCTTCCTGCGAATGAAACATCGGGCGGCGCTGTCCCCGTTTTCGCGTGGCGGTGGAAAGCGCCTGGGGCTCGACGGGGGCGTCGGGCTGCAGAACCGTACGTCTGTCCAGCGAACTCGTAGGGTCTGTTCGCACAGATCCAGTGAGCCTTGCGTGTTGCCCAAGAGATTCTGCTGGAGGCCCTCGTAGTTCTGCTGGCAGTCTGCGCAGCTCTGCAGACGGCCCTCGTGGCTTCGCGGGTTGCCCAGGAAGTTCTGCGCGTAGCCCTCGTCTGCCAGCCGGAGGTTCTGGATGCTCTGCAGGTGCCCCTGACAGCTTCGCTGGTGGCCCTCGCAGCTCAGCTGATGGCTCTCGAAACTCTGCTTGTGTTCCTCGTAGCTCAGCTCGTGGCCATTGTAGCCTAGCCTGTGGCCCTCGTAGCTCAGCTCAATGTCCTCTTAGCCCTTCTTGTGGGCCTCGTCCACAGCTGGTGGTGCCCGTAGTTCAGCCAGTGGTCTTCGTAGCCCTGCTGGAGGCTGTGGACGCACAGCAGGTCGCCCTGGTAGCTCTGCTGGTGGCTCTCGTAGCTCTGCTTGTGGCCCTCGTGGCTCGCCTCGTGGCCCTCGTAGCTCAGCTGGTTGCACTCGAAGCTCTACCTGATGACCTCCTAGCTCCAGTGGTGGCTCTCGAAGCTCTGCTCGTGGCCCGTGTAGTTCAGCTGGTCGCCCTGGTAGCTTTGCTCGTGGCCCCCGTAGCTCAGGTTGTGACCATCGTAGCTCTGCTGGTGGCTGGCTCTCCTAGCTCAGCAGGCGGCCCTGGTAGCTCAGCTGGTGCCCCTCGTGGCAGCCGTAGCTCAGCTCGTGGCCCTCGTAGCTCAGCCTGTGGCCCTCGTAGCTCAGCTCAAGGTCCTCGTAGCTCTGGTTGTGGGCCTCGTAGCACCGCTCGTGGTGCTCGTAGTTCAGCCAGTGGTCTTCGCAGCTCTGCTGGAGGCTGTGGACGCTCAGCAGGTCGCCCTGGCAGCTCTGCTCGTGGCCCTTGTAGTTCAGCTGGTCGCCCTGGTAAGTCTGCTGGAGGCTCTCGTAGCTCCGCTTGTGGCCCTCGTAGCTCAGCTCGTGGCCCTCGCGGAACTGGAGGCGGTCCTCGTAGATCAGCAAGCGGCCTTGGTGGCTCAGCTGGTCGCCCTCGTAGCTCTGCCTGTGGCCCTGCTGGTGGCTCCCGAAGGTTTGCGTGTGACCCTGGAAGCTTTTCTGGTAGCCCTGGAAGGTCTTCTTGTTGCCCTGCTGGAAGTCCTCGAAGCTCCGCTGGCCCTCGTAGCTCTGCTCGCGGCCCTCGAGGCTCGGACAGTTGCTCTGGTAGCTCCGCTGGTGGCCCTCGCAGTTTTGCCAGTGGCTCTCGTTTGTCTGTTTCTAGCTATCGCGGCTCCGAGCGTTGCTCTCGGAATTCTGTGGCTCCGAGGGCGCGATCTGTTCGCATTCCTCGAGGTTCTCATCGGAGTCGTCGGCTGCCAGGTCGTAGTGTTCCACTTTCAAGTTGTCATTGTAGCCCTTGTCCCCGCTGTTGGTCCAGCCACACAAACTGCTCTCCTGCAGTGGCTGGCATGGTAGGCGGCAGGGCGAGGAAGCCGTATGCATCGTAGTCGTTGCAACCCTTGTATCAGTTGTGGCCACTGTATGCGCTGTAGTCGAAGGCGTCGTGGAGGACGTACTCGATGTCCACTGATTCCCGCGCGACGATGTACTCGATCAGCGTGCCGGGCTGCACGTCCGTGGTCCTCAGGCCTCGGAGGGCAGCACCGCGCGCCGCCTGCTGCTGACGCCCAGGAGCGCACCGCGCCGCCGTGAGCCCAACGGCGAGCTCGTCCGTTCTGCGGAGGCTTCAGGCCGCCGCATGCTCGGGCAGCCCCCCCCGGAGTCATGGCCGCGCCCCCTGCCCGCGCCGCGGTCAGGGGGCACGGTGCCGGCGCCGCTGGGCGCGCGGCGCGCGCGCGGGAACGTGCCGGGGACGTATCCCGCCCGCATTTGGCCCTAGCCCTTGAGCCAAGATGGCTACGGGCCCTCCTCGAGCCTCCTCCTCCTCCTCCCTCCCTCCCTCCTCCTCCTCCTCCCTCCTCCTCCTCCTCCTCTCCCCCTCCTCCCCCCTCCTCCTCTCCTCCTCCTCCTCCTCCTCCTCCTCCTCTTCCTCCTCCTCCTCCTCCGCCTCCTCCTCCTCCCTCCTCCTCCTCCTCCTCCTCTCCTCCTCCTCCTCTTCCTCCTCCTTCTCCTCCTCCTCTTCCTCCTCCTCCTCCTCCTCCTCCCACGAGCTGCGATTTAACGCTCTGTGTGTCCCCTGGCCGCGACCATGGCCCCCTCCCAGTGGCACAATATGTTGTCCCAGGAGGGGCTGTTGTGAAAACGGTCCGATCATCGTTGGTGGGGCCGGCGAGGGACGAGGGGGGAGGGAGACAGGGGGGCCGAAAGAGGAGGGCGAATGGGGGCCCGAACGGAAGAACCGCGCGCAGGAGGGAAGGAAACGAAGCCAGAGGCGCGGCCTGCGCGCGCGTGCATCACTGCGCACATGCGCGCGTGCTTGCGCGCGCCAGCACGCGCACGCGCGCGCGCACTCAGCCCCAGAGAGGGGGCTGGAGAGGGAGCTCCTGAGGCCTCGGAAGGGGAAGGGGTGGGTGCGTGCACGTGCCCTGGGGGCTCCCACCGCCCCCCCTGGGCCGCCGCCGCAACGGGCCCCGCTCACTCTAGCATAGTAAGGATGGGCGACTTTCCAAGGTTACCCTTGCATCCGTCCCCTTCGGCCCATCCTCGGCCCCTTTCGCTGGCCGCGCCCCGCTCGCAGAGTGTCGACACGGCCACCCAAGGCCCTTGCATCCGTATGGTGCGTACTTATTCCCCAATCAGGGCTTGCCTCTGTAGGGGTCCTGGCGGATTCATACGTTTAGGTGAGCTTTGCCGCCGATTTCCGCGGCCCGCCCGGGTGCCCGGGTGCCCGGGTGCTCTATAGCCCTATAGCCATATAGCCCTATAGCCCTATAGCCCTGTAGCCCTATAGCCCTAAAGCTTTACAGCCTTATAACCCTACCTATACGACCACCCTTCGGGTGATAAGGAGGTTCGGGGGGGGGGAACCAACGTCTCACTCGATCGGTCTCACTATCGATCTCAGTATCGATCTCACTATCGGTCTCGCTCGATCGATCTCACAATTGATCTCACAATCGATCTCACAATCGATCGATCTCACTATCGATCTCACATTCGGTCTCAATATCGATCTCACCATCGATATCACAATCGCTCTCACAATCAACGTCGTCATCATCATCATCATCATCATCAACAACATCATCAACATCAACATCAACACCAACATCGTCATCATCATGAGGGCACCGTCATCATCATCATAAACATCATCATCAACGTCAGCATCATCATCATCATCATCATCATCATCATCATCATCATCATCATCATCGG